ATAGAACGAAACGTGCATCCTATGTATTTTATATTTATTGGTAACTATTGAGACTATTATAATTGATGGTGTCCGAGATCCTAATGCGAAAGCTGCCAACAGCCACCCTCCCCCTAAAATAAAAAGCTGGCTACTTGAGCAAGAAGTCAGAAGAATTACTTACTTGCTTACTTACTTACTTACTTACTTACCACTGTTAGCCGATCCACTCTTTTTCTTGAGACTTCCTTCTTAGTTCTGTTGGAATATTGTGCAATCTTTTCGTGTCTGTCTCTTTTGACCTTGAGGATTAAAAATAAGTGCTTGTCTTGTGACTTAGTTGAGTGCTTTCTTGAATGTGTTTCCTATCCACCTTCAGAGTTTCTTCCACCACTGGAATCTGGTTATGTTCTCTCTCTCAAAGTAGGTTGTTACTAATAATGTCTAGCTAACGGATCTGAAATATTTTGCATAGACAACTGTTCATAAACACTTGTATCTTCTGAATGATGGCTTTCGTAGTTCTCCAAGTTTCTGCCCTATACAGTAGAACTGTCTTAACATTTGTATTGAATATTACACCACCTTGAGAAATGGTTAAATTTTTGAATCAGTAATATACACTTATTGTTATGCTTGTTACTTGATATGCTTAAAACGATTACGGGTTCAGCTTAGTCAATAAACGAGAACAAGACAATGAACCGGTAACAGGTTATACTACTCTAATCGGTTAACCCAAAGCAACTGATGAAGAAGTTTTGATATAGAATAGAAAGACTATTCTACAAACACCCAGCAAAGACAGTGATCTCTAGCATACAAATCGAGTTTAGTTATACACCATAGAGACATCCTTGGGAGAGTCACAAATGTAGCACACTAAAGTAACACATCAACCAATCACAGACAAGGATTTTCTTGGTGGGAAATCTGATCTCAAGGTCAATTGATCAGCCCATGAATAAAATCCAAAATAAGGACATTTATCAAGCGAGTTCTGTGGATCTAACGTCCCCAACACTTATCCATTAGACTGATTTCTGATAGTCATCAAATGACCTTCACATTGAACCACTTCTGATAAACATTTTTTCTACATTACAGATGTTCAATAGTCAATAATCAGTTCAATGTTTCAATGAACAAAAGAATGTATTACAAAGTTTTTGCATGAGTACAGATTAAAATGATAAAAATTAAGAATTTGACCTGAATTTTCTAGTGATAAGTTTATAACTTCCATTCACAGTGTGTGTGTGTGTGTGTGTGTGAATATATAGTAGGACTCCTTGATAAATATTATTGATTCGATTAAATTGATTTACTGACTAAAATTAAAAAAAAAATAAAATTTTTTTTCTTTTTTCTTAACTAATTATTTGTTTAAATTCTTTAAAATTCTATAAAATAATTTATGAAATAAATCAATTTCTTTTTTTTATAATATCAATAAATAATTGATAAAATCCGAAAAAAAAATGCATATGAATAATGGTAGTTTTAAAAATTCTCCAGCTGTGTTGTAAAAATATTTCAAATGTGCAATAATTTTTTCCAAAACAAAAAAAGTGTATCGAGAAAATGTAAAATTAATCATAGAAAACTGTGTGCAAGTGTGGGGGGGGTAAGATAAATAAATCAATAATAAATGTGGTGCGAGCTAGTTATAAGTAGTAGTATATGACATGAGTGTCAACGTAATTTCTGGCAGCAGAAGATATGGGGGGGGATTATCAAGAAAGGAAGAGTTAGAACACAATGGAATTTGTATGAAACGCATGAATAATGAGACAATGGATTGATGTTGTTTGCAACAGGAACAGTCCAGTTCGATATGATGATGAACTGATATTTTGCATAGTAACGATTTACGATATGGTTTTCCTATTTTACTGAGTAACTCTGTAATTTTCGTTAAATACAATACGGTTGCCACACCTTGTGTTCTCGTTCACTACAATATTACATTATTGAGTAATTAGTTTAAATTTATACGAATACTGGTTAATTCATTAAAACAAAAATAATTTATGGCTTATTGAACATTTAACTATAGGTTGATGAAAATAGAAAAAAACAAACTGATTTACTGATTAGTTGTTCTATTGATTGAGTTAATTGTTATAATCATTTTTAGGTACTTACTGAATTACTTATTCTCTATACTTCCAACGGAACATATGCCACCAACCTGGCATTCTTTAATCTACTCTCTACTATCCTGTGTCTACACGTTTCTAGTTCTATCTACCTAGTCGTTGCTCATTCTTATTATCTCTGTAGCCATTTCTCGACGTAATGTGTTCTTTGATCTTCCTCTTTTCTACTATCCTTGAAGATTTAAAATGAGGGCTTTTATCTTGTAAAGCAGTTGTAAGCTTTTCTCAATATTTATCCTGTCCTATTTCTAGCGTTTCTTCCTGATTTTTATTCATTAACTGAAATCTAGCTTGGTTATAATTTCTGTGTCATTCTTATTAGATCAAGAAATTTGTGAAAATCGAAAATGGCTACTGACTGTTCATTAGTCTCGTACTAATAAGGAAAGGAACAACCGTTTAGTCCTATCAGATTTTCAATAAGAGTCTAACAAAAAAAAATTAGTTCATGAGTTCAGTAGTGAAAATAATTCAGCTTCTAAAAATTTCATATACTCATAACAATCATATTCTCACCTAACGACTAGCTCCAACAATGTAATCCTAGAGCTTGAACCATGTTGTGGGTATGTCATAGTTATCCTACTAAGACAATGGATGATAATCATTGAAAAGTTTTTATTCATTTTTACAATTCATTAAAAATATGTGATTAAAAATGTTTTTGGAAACTGATTCATTCTTATGATGAATACACTGATTGTTGTTCCTAACTCATTTTTACAATGTTTCAGTGTTGAGGATGTTAGATTCACAGAACTCGCTTGATAAATGTCCTTATTTTGGATTTTATTCATTGGCTGGTCAATTGACCTTGAGATCAGATTTCCCACCAAGAAAATCCTTGTCTGTGATTGGTTGATGTGTTGTTTTAGTGTGCTACATTTGTGACTCTCCCAAGGACGTTTCTATGGTGTGTAACTAAACTCGATTTGTGTGCTAGAGATCACTGTGTTAGCTGGGTGTTTGTGGAATACACTTTCTATTCTATATCAAGACTTCACGATAGTTCCTTTACGTCAAAGGATCAGAGTAGCCTACCTGGACGCTGGTTCATTTTCTGGTTCTCGTTTATCGACTAAGGTGAACCCGTTATAGTTTTAAGCATAGCTAGTGATGAGTGTAACATTCACGGAAGATATAGACTTGATTTGTAGTTACTTAGATAAAGTGTTTTATTTATTAAGAGTAAATCAATCAATATTTATTTTCGTAGACTGTTACTTTCATTTTGTTACGCAAGCACGTAAACATGTCAATTTGATATGCTTGAACTATTACGAGTTTACCTAGTCGGAAAACCAGAGCGAGGATTGAGGATCCAGCGACACGACACGCTACTCGAATCCGATTATCACAACCCCCATATTGAGTTGAAATAAGCAGACTTGATATGAAGTAGAACCTGTATTCTACAAGCATTCAGAATGTACGAGGTCCGAGTCAAGAAGAGAATCAGGATCCCAGACTACGGATCCGGGTCCGGGTCATAAAACGTTACAGATAATGCGTATTTATACATTTTGGTCGAATAGGAAACAGCATCGAAGCCTATTACATTTATAGTTATGGCGACCAATAAGAAACAACATTTAAGTACGTGCAGATTCATAGTTAGGACGACCATAATATTGACCAGTAGGAATAGACCAATAGAATTTACTCTCACAAAATGATATTTGGTGAATATCCTAACACTTTTTGACGAGTGATCATTTTTATTTCAGAATATTCTAAGCCGATGATTTTAAAGAAAAGAGAATATTTTCATAATCTTTTTTATTTTCATCTGAGTTATTACGTAATATGATTTCATCAAATTAAATCATTAAAAACGCTATGGAGAGCGTTAAGTTTCATTGATCATTGTTAGACCACTATTAGTGAGTGACCTGAAAGTTAAACATGAACATGGTTGGATACCATCTGCTCAGCTATCTAGACGTTATACGTTCCAGCTCGAAGCTGAGGGTCCTAGTTTCGATTCCTGCGTGCGGAGGTTGTGGATACTCACTGCTCACTGATGAGTTCCACACTAAAACAAAGTGATTGTCTAGTGCCTCCAGTTTTCTCATGATAGACTAACAATGATCGTTTCATTATTTCAATGAAACTCGATATACACCAAAAACTTTATGGTCGATCACGTTCATTAAGAAGTAAAACACTCTTACTTACTTACTTACTTACTTACTTACTTAATTCCTCAGTCACTTACTTACTTACTTACTTACTTACACTTACTTACCTACTTACCTACTTACTTACTTATGCACTTACTTACCTACTTACCTACTTACTTACTTATGCACTTACTTACCTACTTACCTACTTACTTACTTATGCACTTACTTACCTACTTACCTACTTACTTACTTATGCACTTACTTACCTACTTACTTACTTACTTACTTACTTATGCACTTACTTACTTACTTACACCCGCGAACCCTAGTGGAGTATAGTCCGACGACCAACGAATCATTTTTTCAGGTTAGTCTTTTTTGGCAGCGTGATGATTTCCTTAAGCATGCCAGATCCTCCTCCATTATCCTTTGGCTTGGAACTGGCAGTCACCTCAGTGGATGCTCCATACAGAGAGGGCGAGAGAGAGAGGGAGAGACAGTTAAATAAGTTTAGTAAAAGAATTAAAATCAATTCAATAATGTAGTTTTCTTTTTCTTTAACTCATTTTATATCTTGATTTAATGATACTTTCTGCTGCTTTTTTTTTCTTTATTCTATACAGACAATTAATTAATTTAGAAAAATGAACTGAAAAAACAATTGTCCTTGATTATCCTTTTTTTCTGAAATATTCATTTTTTTTCTCCAAAATTTTCATTGAAATAATCAATCATGTCTGAACAAACAATGCAACAACAACAACCATCGGAACAACCAAATTTATCAATCATTCCACAAATTCATGTGAATGCTGATGAATCTATTCTGAATAATAATAATAATAATACTAATTCAACGTCATCACCTTCAACACAAGCGACAACACCAGCTGCAACATCACCAATCACCATGAATCAAGATCAACATGAATGTTTGCATTCAAGAGAACGACGTCATGATCGTAATGTCTCATTTCGACATAGACGACAACAAGATTTATCACCACGTTTTGAAGATGATCGTAATATTATTTATTTAAATGATGCAACTAGTCGATATTATCGTTCACAAAATCAATTAAATGATCCATCTGGATATTTATTTCAACGTAGTGCTAGTGGTAAGTGATGTGTATTGATAAGTAATTATAACTGAATTTTGGTTTTGTGTACTGTTACAATCAAACAACTTTCAACTAAAACTAAAATCAGGATTTTCAATATAAATGTCAAGACAGTTAGTTCTACTGTATGGAGCGGAAACTTGGAGAACTACCAAAGCCATCATCCAGAAGACACAAGTGTTTATTAACAGCTGTCTACGCAAAATACTTCTGATTAGTTGGCCAGACACCATCAGCAACAACTTACTTTGGAAGAGAACAAACCAGATTCCAGTGGATGAGGAAATCAGGAAGAAGCGGTGGGAGTGGATAGGACACACACACTGAGAAAAGAACCTAAGTGCTTCACGAGACAAGCACTCACATGGAATCCTCAAGGCAAAAGGAAAAGAGGAAGGCCAAAAAACACACACTACGCCGAGAAATAGAGAAAGATATGGGGAGAATGAACAAACACTGGACAGAACTGGAGATGGAAGCCCAGGACAGAGTTTGTTGGAGAAAACTGATTGGCGGCCTATGCTCCATTGGGGGGGGGAGTAACAGGCGTAAGTAAGTAAGGAAGGAAGTACTGTAACAAGGAGTATGAGGGTTGAAGGATGCTTCTTGAGAAACATGAAAATGGAAAGTTCGATCGAGCGTTGATCTTAGCGATCCGTAAAGCGTGACCGCAGTGTCCAAGGTGGGCAGCGCACGTGTTAGCTCCACTATTGAAATGGCTTTACTGTGGGAGATGGAAATCTGAGGGATGACGATTTGAACTAATGTAATTTCATACGAAGTTCTAGATTATAGCTAACTAACTGACTCACTGATCGACTATTATTTTTTATGCATAGATTAATTAGTTTTGAGGACATCTTTGATTTGTTTAAATAAATTATAGTTTTGACATTGACAGTAAAACAGTTCTGCTCTCTGAATGAGCTTTAAAGTTAAGTAGTTGAAAGGAACCGGTAGGAAACTGTGAGCTTAAGCTTTGTTGAAATTCATTAGCAATGCGAATTTGCAATCTTAAGTTTTATGGAATCCATAAGTTATTTTATCGACTACTTACCATATCGCAACTTAATCAACCGGAACTCGAATCAACGAGTAGACAATCCGGAAGCTGTTGCATTACTCAAGAACAATAAAAGTACCCCTAACGACTTTAACCCCAACATTAGAAAGAAGTGATTTTTATATCAGATTAAGAATATATTGCGTGCAGATGAATAGATCTCTAGTAAAAGCCACTGAGAAAGTTTTATAGTTCTCAATAAAATTTACATTTCTGTTGTATTGAGCACGAAGTTTTTCAGTGAATATTTGCGTTAGACAAAAACACATCAAGATACGCTATCCAACTTGTCTATCATCCTTTTATTCTCTCTGTTTTTCTCTCATCTCATTATTTAGCTAGAAATATTCGTCTACGATCAGGCATAAGTCATAATCATTTACATCATCAACTTAATTTACATGTTGATGATCGTTTAACCAATCAAATTCGTCGATCATTTCAAGATAGAACCAATGGTTTAAGTCAAGACACATTGATTGAACGTCAAAATTTAGTTTTAGTACCAATGTATGGTTTGTTACGTCCTAGACGTTCAAGAAATCGATCGCATAGATTATCAGCTGATTTAGAAAATTCACAACGTCGTCAAACGGAACTTATTGATGTATCCACTTGTCGTAATCTCAATAATTCACTTTCTACATCACCATTAAATGAAGACACTGTAGATCGACCGATTATATTTACAAATCCAACAGGCAGAAATCATCATCATCATCACCATCCGCAACAACCACAACAACCGCAAGCGTTGTCTTTGAATACAGCACAAACTTTATCGTTACGTTCACCGAATGAAACCGACCTAAATGAACATAATTCACCAAGTAGTACTCGATCTCAATCACGAATTAATCCAATTCAACCATCCACAAGAGTAACAACACAAGCTGTTCAAACAAGAGGTTTATATCAAGGTCAATTAAGACGTGTTCAAAATGAATCAATTATTGCACAAAATCGTCATTCAGATGAATCTGATGCATTAGTAATGAATATTGCTTCTTCGAATACAAATCGTCTTAGTACAATGCAACAATGTGACAATGGCAGTACAAATTTAAACAATACTAATAATAGTAATCGAGATAGAGAAATCTATGTATTACGTAATAATAATAATAATACTAATCAGCAGCCATCATCCTCCAATCAACCTTATCCATTATTATCTACCACTGTTGATAATGCTAGTATGACTACTACTAGTATTAGTGATGCTAGTAGTATTGAAGATTTACATGTCACAGAAATTGTAGCTAATAGTAGTTATACTGACACAGTAATACATCGTCCTAAATTATATGAAGGTGGGAATAATTCAGAAACTGAGAAATTACTAAAACGTCAAGATGTGAAATATGCAGAGAAGAGAACTGATTCAACGGATTGGCGGGTAAGTTTAAATATTTTTTTTAATTGAGAATGTAAGAGATTTGTAGAGATTGTATTTTTTTTGTTTAAATTGACTTCACTGACTGATCTAAGACAAATCATCTTTAGAGAATTAGAAACACTAGAAAACCGTTTTTTTTGTTTTCTAGTATGGAACTCATCGACAATTGATATCCATCATCTTGGATGTAGGAATGAAACATTGAAACTCTAGACCGCTATCCGTGATATTTTTCAATCCCACACTCATTGTCTCTAAGTAGGTAATGAAATGCTTCACACCCTACACGGCTGAACTAGATCGGTCACGATTTCCCACTAGAACTCCAGGAATTCATCTGGAAGGCAGTCACTAGTGAGTACATGATTGTAATATAATTATGGGGATTTGTAGAGATTGGATTATTTTACACGGTAAAAATCAGTAATCCTCAAGCAAGACTGAACCCATAGGTTCGATTCTCACTTACGGGATTTTCAAGTGTTTTCTACCATAGATCGTTACATGATTTCCCGATTTTTTTCCGATTATATCAATGCACTGGAAAACTGTCATTGTTAATGATGGATGAAAACGTCGAAAACCATTGCGCCTATCGATTATTTATTGATTGAAACACGGCAATATGTGTACATGATAGCAATGAAACTTTTATCTGTCACTTCAATCATTCATTTTGGTGAGTTAACTCACTGGTATTCTGTCCTACTGTCCTAATCAAAGCAGGTGGTCTCATAGTAGTCGGAACTCAATACTAATAGGTTCACACACCCTTCTTTCTATCAGAAATGTGCAGACTGTGTGCTTATTTGATACGGAATGAAGGTTTTTCAACTCTCCTATATAGATATTCCGTGCTCACAAGCCCGTCTAACATGCGATTTTAGACTTTTTAATTTCCTAAAATAACATTTGTGTCACAAGAAGGTAGAGAGTAGAACGTCTCGGTCAGTTTCTATGGTATGTGAGAAGGATAGCTAACTCCCTCATTTCTTTCATATACTAAGACACTTGGAAGCTTGAATGATGTGCGTTTGGGGATATACGAATAATCACCAATCATCAGTCAGTGGTTACTCTAAAGACTCATCGCATAGCCTACCGTGGATGAATCAAAAAGAACAGAGAGTGATTGAATGCTGTAAAACCACTCATCACTGATGGTAAAGGTGACATAGAGTTTGAAGGTGGGATAGAATATTTTCAGATTTTATTTGTCATCTTTGCACGGCGGTTTAATTTTCTCAAATCGATTATTCAGCAGTAATTAATGTCATCCGGTGACCGTAGTTTTCACGGATTACTTACTTAATTACTTACGCCTGTTACCCCCAATCGAGCATAGGCCACTCACCAGTTTCCTCCAACCAACTCTTTCCCGTTCTTCCCTTGATAGTTCTTTGCAGTTTTTGTTTATTCTTCTCATGTATTTGTGTAATGTGTTCCGTGACCTTCCTCTCTTCCATTTGCCTTGAGGGTTCCATGTGAGGGCTTGTCTCGTGACTCAGTTAGGTGCTTTCCGTAATGTGTATCCTATCCACTTCCACAGCTTCTTCCTCATTTCCTCCTCCATTGGAATCTGGTTTGTTCTCTCACACAGTACGTTATTGCTGATGATGTCTGGTCAACGAATACGAAGTATTTTGCGAAGACAACTGTTAATAAACACTTGTATCTTCTGGATGATAGCTTTGGTAGTTCTCCAAGTTTCCGCTCCATACAGTAGAACTAACTGTCTTGACATTTGTATTGAAAATCCTGATTTCGGTGATGGTTGAAAGTTGTTTGGAGTTCCAGATATTTTTCAACTGTAGAAATGCAGCCCTTGCTTTGCCAATCCGCGCCCTCACATCTGCATCGGATCCACCTTGCTCGTCGATGATGCTGCTCAGATATATAAAGGTGTTAATGTCGTCCATGGCTTCTCGATCAAGAATGATTTGGTTGGTGCATGTTGTGTTGCATCGGAGAATTTTGCTTTTTCCTTTATGTATGTTGAGACCTACTGCTGCTGCATAGGCTGCTGCTACACACTGGTCGTCTTCTGTTGCATTTGTTGTTGCGTGTGCGATAGAAGAGCTAGGTCATCTGCGATTAATATACACTGTTAATCGGCTTATACAATTCAGCTTTCATTGACAGATTATCTTTTTGGATTGGAACAGTCACGTCAGATTCTTCTTTGAATCTCTGTTCGTTCAGAGCAGCTACGCTAACTAACTATATTGTTTACTGGGTCCGCGAGACAATAATAACCAATAGTTAGATAGCCCGAATAACATTTCTCAAAACCGTTTGCTATGGTGCAGGTGCATTCATACTTTGCATTCTCTCAAGTTCTAATCTTCTGAATTCCGCATCACTTTTATCGTTCACTTTTTTTTAAATTTATTTCATTGAATTATACTTCTCGAATAATTTCTGCGAACCCAAATCTTCTCGATTACCGCTAGTACTGTAGTGAAGGAGAACACAGGTGAGGGCAACCGAATTGTGTTTAACGAAAATTACAGAGTTACTCAGTAAAATAGGAAAACCATATCGTAAACGGTTAATTTGCAAATCTTCAATCCATCACCAATCCATTGACATTTCACTCACTATTCATGCGTTTCATACAAATCCCATTGTGTTCCCACTCTTCCTTTCCTGATCTTCACCCATCTTCTGCTGCCAGACATTACGTTTTCACTCGCGTCATATTCTACTTATAAGTAGCGCGCACCACAGTACTTCTACTGTCTGTGGTACTATCGAATTTGCATAGACCATTGCGACTCTGTGTGCTAATATGATATGGCACCTTGGATCGATATGCGTACGTATCAACAAGTTCTACGTTAGTGCTGACTGACTGACTGACTGAGTGACCTTCATACAATAGTTGTTTTGTGAAAAAAACCTTTTTTCACTTCAATAAATAAAATGTAGAAAAGTTTATATTTTATGAAGAATTTCTATTCTAAGGTCGTATAAATTAGAGAAAAATACCAATCAATATTCATTACAAAACTAAGTAAGTAAGTAAGTACTTGTGCTTAACTAGAACGAATTCATTTGAATCAAACTGATAAATGTACTTGTTTACATGAGAATTAATCATTATTATATATGTTATTACTATTGAAATTATGAAATGATCATTATTTCGAAATTTAGAAGCATTAGACAACAGTTGTTTCGTCCTTGTATAGAACTCATCAGTAGTGTGCATTCATGACCCCGTCCACGCACACACGCACGCAAGGGGAATCGAACTCCAGGGCCCCCAATCTCTCTAATCCACTAAGTCGGGATCCAATGGTGTCAAAGTTAATCAGCGTACTCCGTGCTATGGTGTAACCTTACACACTGGCTATAATGTCTAACTGCCTCTTATATAGTCAACATGGTTTAACCCGACACCAGTCATGAATTCTTATTAGAATTCCTAGAATCGCTTCACAAAACTAGTCATTAGTAAGATTTGTTAAGTGAGTAATGTTTGTGTTTTTGCATTACGGGGTTGTGAAGATTATTGAGTTACATATTTTGAAATCACGAATCTATCAATGTTAGACAAACATTAGAAACCTGGAAGCACTGAAAGAAGGCCCCTTTTCGTCCTGTTATGGGACTCATCAACAGTGCACAACCACGACTCGAACCTAGGACTTTCGTTCTTGCTCGCGAACGCCTTACCTCTGGACCACTGAGCCGGTATCTAACGGTGTCAGTGTGTAACTTAAAAATCTTCACAACATCGTAATGCATTTACATATGCTCACTAGTCACTAGCTCCGTGAGGAAACTTCTCCGAATTCTAGTAGGAAGGCGTGACCAGTGAAGTACAACCTGTTCGGGTGTAGACAATAACTACCGGAAACAATATAAACGGTTTCGCAAAACCGTAAAATTGATCGAAGTTACACATTAACAGCATTAGATTTCAGCTTCGTGGTCCAGAGGTTAGGCGTTCGAGGGCAAAACCGAAGGTCCCGGTTTCAAATCCTGCGATGTGCAGTACTCGTGGATGCGCATTACCACTGATGAATAGTCCGATACTAGGACGAAACAGCCTTCTCTCAGTACTCCCACATTTCTAATGTTGGTCTAACATCGATCAATTCATGATTTCAAAAGTTTGTGTTTTTAATTACAAAATTGTTTGTGATGAATTTTTTTATTGCGCTTTTTTCTCTAAAATCAATTTTTAAATTATAATCAATCAATAAAATGGAATTAAGTTTTAATGTATCAGTAAGTTTGTTTGTTTGTTTGTGTGTGTGTGCGTAGTGTGTGTGTAGTGTGAATAAGTTTGTAAACATTTTGACGGTTAAGTACTTTGAACACAGAAGAAAAAACAATAAGTGTAAATATAAGAGTTTTGTAATTCCATAGAAAAAAAATAGAACAAAGATTGATTATTTTTGTGAAGCCAGTAGATCATACATAATAAACAATGACCTGGCTCTTCTATCTCACACGCAACAACAAATGCAAAGAGAAGACAACCAGTGTGTAGCAGCAGCCTATGCAGCAGCAGTAGGTCTCAACATACATAAAGGGAAAATTAAAAAATTCTCCGATGCAACACAACATGCACCAACCAAATCATTCTTGATCGAGAAGCCATGGACGACATTAACACCTTTATATATCTGGGCAGCATCATCGACGCGAGCAAGGTGAATCCGATGCAGATGTGAGGGTACGGATTGGCAAAGAAAGGGCTGCATTTCTACAGTTGAAAAATATCTGGAACTCCAAACAACTTTCAACCAAAGCCAAAATCAGGATTTTCAATATAAATGTCAAGACAGTTAGTTCTACTGTATGGAGCGGAAACTTGGAGAACTACGAAAGCCATCATCCAGAAGATGCAAGTGTTTATGAACAGTTGTCTACACAAAATACTTCGGATTCGTTGGCCAGACATCATCAGCAACAACCTACTGTGGGAGAGAACAAACCAGATTCCAATGGAGGAGGAAATCATGAAGAAGCTGTGGAAGTGGATAGGACACACATTGCGGAAAGCACCTAACTGCGTCACGAGACAAGCCCTCACATGGAACCCTCAAGGCAAATCGAAGAGAGGAAGGCCAAGGAACACATTACACAGACAAATAGAGAAAGATATGAGAGAAATGAATAAACATTGGACAGAACTGGAGAAGGAAGCCCAGGACAGAGTTGGTTGGAGAAAACTGGTGGGCGGCCTATGCTCGATTGGGGGTAACAGGCGTAAGTAAGTAATTAAGTAAGTAAGTACATAATAAACAGCTGGAAAAAAATATTTATCTTATGGACTATGTATGTGTGTGTGTAGAATGTGAGAGTAGAAATTTTCTGGTGAATTTACATTCTCTAAGCTGATAGTTTTTGTTATAGAGCGGAGCTAACATTCATTGTTCTTATACTGAATACAACATCTGCATTACGGGGTTGTGAAGATTGTTAAGTTACATATTTTTGAAACCATGAATCGATTAATTTAAACCACCACTATTAGAAAACTGGAAGCACTCACTGGACGGCTGTTTCATTCTGGTATGTGAACTCCTTAGGAGTCGATTCATGGTTTTCAAGAATACAACATGACCAGCATAAGTTTCAGTTAGAAGAAATGAAGTATTCGAATTTTTTCACATGTACAACGCGTTGGTTGTTCTGTTAACCTCGATTGTGATTAGTTGTTGTTATTGACCTTAAACGTGTTGTTGTGTTGAATCTGTACTTTGATTTTGTCCCCCTTTTGATCTGTTTCTTCAATCTATGTTTGCCTATGATTTTTTTCTGATTTGGTTGATAAATTGGGTTAATGTCGATGTGTTTTTACACATTTCCAATCATCAATCAATCATCGTTAGACCACTAGTAGAAACCTGGGAGCACTGAAAGACGGCCGTTTCGTCCTGGTATGGGACTCATCAGCAGTGCGTTTACGCGACTTCTGAACATTGCAGGATTCGAAACCGGGACCTTCGGTCTTGCGAGCGAACGCCTAACCTCTGGACCACAAAGTCGAAATCTAATGGTGTTTATGTGTAACTTCGATCAATTCACGTTCTTGCGCCACGTCATACACTGTCTTCGGTAGTTACTGTCTACATCTGAACAGGTTGAACTTCACTTGTCATGACTTCCCACTACAACTGGGAGAAGATTCCTCACGGAAATAGTGACTAGTGAGAACATGTAACTGCATTACGATGTTGTGAAGTTTGTTAAGTTACACATTCATTCATTAACAATCATTCAATAAGGATTTTGATTTCCTGAATTATTTCTATTTTGAAATAGATTACTGATTGTTATTGATAATAATAATTATTATTTGTCATGAATTACGTAATTACGAAATCACATGCTCATGAATTGTTTCACAATGATAATTATTGATCATTTTTATGATGCCCTAGTACTGCGATCTGAATGCGATTAGTTCCAAACCCCACTCCTAAACACTAGCTACTTGAACGAGACAGTAAAGAGCAGAAACAGAAAGTTTACTTGACTCACGAATAGAATGAACCGATGACTCGTCTAAATACTTACGTAATGGTTTTGATGTTTTTTAATGATTATTTGTATACTATTGATCAAACTTTTAACCTACGATTGATAAAACTTCAGTTTTCATTTTCTTACTACTATCAGTACACCAGTCTGCCTACTATCCACTTGTACTTTTGCCTATTATTTGTATAATGACGTAATCTCTATTTCATTTCATTGTGATTATTGACTCAAATTGCCTTGATTGGTTAGAACATTTTCATACAGAAATATTCATGTTTATTAGTGAGTAAAGCAGCCTGATGACGATCTAATCGAAAACAACAACACCTTTGTACGCTTATATCTGTGTTGTTCTAATTTTTACAATGGGAATATTTAAGATTATTTACTGTTATTCTTGATTTAAAAATTCACACACACACAATTTGTATTACGGGGTTGTGAAGATTGTTAAGTTTTTTTGAAACCATCAATCGATCAATGTTAGACCGTTAGATACCGGCTCAGTGGTCCGATGGTTAAGCGTTCGCTTACAATACCGAAGGTCCCGGTTTAGAATCCTGTGAGGTGCAGGAATCGTGGATGCGCACTGCCGATGAGGAGTCCCATACATTAGGACGAAACGTCCGTCTTTCAGTGCTTCCAAGTTTCTAATGGTGGTCTAACATTGATCGATTCATGGTTTCGAAAATGTGTTACTTAACAATCTTCACAACAACCCCGTAATGCAAATTACTTGTGCTCATTAGTGATTAGCTTCGTGAGGAATCTTCTCCGACTTCTAGTGGGAAGACGTGACCAGTGAAGTTCAACCTGTTCGGGTGTAGACAGTAACTACTACCGAAGACTGTGTATGAGGCTGTGCAACTCCATGAATTGATCAAGTTAAACATTAACATCGTTAGATACCGGCTCAGTGGTGCGATGTTTGGGCGTTCGCCTACAATACTGAAGGTCCTGGGTTCGAATCCTGAGGGGTGCACTTCTAAGGAGTCCCATACCAGGACGAAACGGTCGTCTTTCAGTGCTTCCAGGTTTCTTATGGTGGTCTAACATTGATCGATTCATGGTTTCGAAAAAAAAACACACACACACACGCACAATTCATTGATTTCATGAATTCATCTTTTTTTTCTTCATCTCTATAGGCTAATTTAATTGGTAGTCGTCAATTATGGCGTGAAATGTTAATCACTGAACGTTTTGCTGATGTATGGTTTATAGTTGGCGGTGAAGATATTTTAGGCAATAATGGTACACTTAGTTTATATTCAAGTGATTCTAGTGCACCAGGTGGTCCAACAAGTCAATTAAATTGTTGTTCAACTACAAAACAATTATTCAATATTTCTTCAACACGTACTACAAATTATACAAATAGTTTTAATAAATCACGATTAATATGTAACAATAATAATGAGAATAATAATAATAATAATAACAGCAATGGTAATGGTAGTAGTAATCCACCTACGACAGTTACCATTACTGCACGTACTACTACTACTACTAATACCACTAGTAGTACTACTTCTTCGACTACTGCCAATAATAATAATAATAATAATAGTAATCATCCTACAGATAATATATTATTACATTCAAAATGTACTAACTCTGATCAAGAGAATAATACCATAGATGATGCAACAGATTTGAATTCAGACAGTGAACATCTGTCTTGTCATTCTGATCATATTAATACTACAGATACAAATAAATCAACAACATTAACTAGTCAATCAACAAATTGTCATTCACAAATGATTCGTTTGAAAGATGAGAAAAATTCAATAAAAATGAATCATGTTAATGTCAATAAGTCAATGATACATCATCAGTTGAATGCAACACAACCACTAAATGATGTCAATGAACCGGGGGCATTAACTAATAATAATGAAACAGAACCGCTTGTATGGCGTTTTGCTGCACATCGTTTAATTCTAGCTGCTGCTTCACCAGTCTTTGAAGCAATGTTCTATGGACCAATGGCTGATTGTGAAAATAAAAATTTAGAAAATCGTCGAGAATATCATATACCTGATATACATCCAAAAGTAAGATGAATTAAAATGTTGTATTGTTTATGATATATTTGTAAATATATAAGTATGTGTATTGAGATGATGGAGAAGCATTTTTGTAGCTCAGTTGGTGGTGTTTGGTTCTCTAAGCTGGATGTAGTTTGGTTGTGAAGCTTTCATCATTGTTCTTCTTCTGAACAACAACATCATCAGCACAAACTTCAGATAGAAGAAGTGAAGCATTGACATTGACCCAATTTATCAACCAACCAGGAAAATCATCGGTGACATAGGATCAAGAAACAGATCAAGAGGGGGATATAATCAAAACAAAGGTGCAAGTAACGACAGGTTTAAGGTCAACAGCAACCAATCAAGATCGAGGTTAACAGAACAAGCTACAGGTCAAACGTGGAGAAATTCGAATACTTCACTTCTCTACCTGAAGTTTGTGCTGATGATGTTGTTCAGAAGTAGAACAATGAAAGCTCCACAACCAAACTACATCCAGCTCAGAGAACCAAACACCACCACCAAAATATAAGTGTGTATATCTGGATTCAAGAGGTTTATTTTTAGGTGATTGATTCCTTTAGCGTCATTGTGAAGCTTGTTTGAAATAAATATTTATGAAGATTGTTTGACTGTTAGCATGCCTCATGAACAGATTTTACATAGATAACCACTGAACAATGAGGAAGAAGTGATCATTTCTTACATGTATATGACTTTTATTGAGTGCTCACATACCGCTTTACCTACTTACTTACTTACTTACTTACTCACTTACTTACTTACTTACTTGCTTACTTACTTACTTACTCACTTACTTACTTACTTACTTGCTTACTTACTTACTTACTTACTTACTTACTTACTTACTTACTTACTTACTTACTTACTTACTTACTTACTTGCTTACTTACTTACTTACTTACTTACTTACTTACTTACTTACTTACTTACTTACTTACTTACTTACTTACTTACTTACTTACTTACTTACTTACTTACTTACTTACTTACTTACTTACTTACTTACTTACTTACTAACTTACTTACTTACTTACTTACTTACTTACTTACTTACTCACTTATGCACTTACTAACTCACTCACTCACTCATTTACTAATTCACTTACTTGCTTACCTACTGACGACTATAATTACCAACGGAGTATAGGCTGCCACTTTGCTAAGTATCAAATACAAGACTTCTAAATTTCATGGTATTTTCATTTAAAACAATATAGATTTTGACATATGAATAAGTTTATAAATATTTATTTGCTTCATATTTAAGGAACATAATAGATTTATTATCTTAGAAACAACTATGTACATAAAAAGTCAGAAATATAATAATTGAAATTTTTAAAAGTTAGTAATTAGGAAACACGACACATTCGTTATCATCAAAAGCGAGGAGATGGAAAACACCGACAATTTGATCAACAGCGGCCTTGATGACATACAATTCCCCATGGAAAAAGAGTGGAACAACAAATTATCATTCCTGGATGTATCGATAAGCAGAAATGACACAGGAAAACTGGAAAATCATGTGTACCAGAAGTCAATGTACAACTAAATTTAGTAACAACCAAATAACTTACAAAATCGACTGAGTATTAGTTTCATTGAAAAGATTGAGAACACATTGAAGCACATGTGTGACACGAGAATGCGACAAACAATATCTGATGATCGATTTTCGAAAAAGAACGATTACCCATTCAACTACCTCAAAAAGTATCAACCATGCACACTTTCATCAATCAATCAATCAGCATCTCACTTGTGTTTATTATCGATTCATAACTAGTGATGATGATTGGTGTTGTGTAATGAGAATGTCATAGTAGAGCACATAAGTATGTGTGTGTGTATGACATATCTCCTTGATATTTGAGAGTGTACACTGCTAAACTATAAATCAGAAGTTTCATGCATAAGAACTGATCATGAAATCTGAAGATACTCTATTCTACCCACAATGATCTAAGATGATGAAGATGAGGATTGTGATGAAGTTTTGTTCTGTGAGATGGATGATTGGGTTGTAGAGTTTTGATTGCTTTTCTGAATAACAGCTGAACTATTAAAACATGTAGCTTAGAGAAGAAAACTCTACTAGAACTTATCTAAGTTAGACTACTCTTAAAAATCTAGAAGCTCTGGACAACCATCCAGCCCAGAGAACGAAACACCACAATAATGTTTTCTCTGTGTGTCTTTCAACACTTACTGAAATCAACACCTCGTCCATTTCTTGACTGGCTGTCTAAGGAAGGGCGGTTCTGATAGTCCTAAAGTCAATGTGTGAACTGTGTTTAAAATGTTCGGTTAGCGAACTTAGTAGAATTTAGTTCAAATTCAAAATACTTTTTAAGATCTTCGTTTTACATCCCTAAACGTAAAATCATTTCTTTCATTAAGAAGAATTCATCAGTGTCATTACTGACGAGAATAGTGTAACCCAACCACTTATTTATATAGTCAGCTTTGAGCAACACTATATATGTAAGTACTTATTGATAAGCTTGCTAAATAAACGCAATATCTCTGAATCCCGATCCTCTTCTAGCAACTTCAGATTCTTCACTCCGAGATTAGTTCATGCACAGAAAAATAAGAGTATTGATAGAGTTACTCATGACTTAGGACTTCTAAAAGGAAGGTTGTAGGACCACATTAAATATTGCAGCTGTATGGCTAAATATCCAGTCAGGAACACGAAATGTGATTATGCATTTTCCAAAAGTTTCTGCGAAAATTCGATGTAATCCTAGCTGGACAAAGCATTTCCTGTCATTTCTAAACATTTTCTTAGGGATATTTCCAGACTCATTGACAGTCAGTCAGTCAGTTGCAACGTAGAACTTCGTACGTAATTACATAAGTTCAGGTTGCAATACCACAATAACACAGAGATGGAAATGTCAAATCGAATCCCATAGTGTTAAAGATAGTAAAGGTATCAATGGTAATGAAGAAGACTACGGTTCGAAGATATTATTCAAGAAGTTTAATTAAGTGAGATAAGGTTAGAAAGACAAAAGATAGAGGTGCTGACGAATCCAGAAGATTAGGATTTGAGACAGCACAACTAATGGATGCACTTGCGCCATTGCAAACGATTTTGAGCCATGTCATTCAAGGTCTTTAACCATTGGTGACTTTCTTCTCGCGGACTCCAACCACGCAGTCTACATCTACCAACATGACTCAGTCCACCTGTCAATTACTTCATGGATTTCTGTCATGTTTTGGTATGGCCGTCCCTAAATTTCTTCCAACCACAAAACTCCTTGACAGTTAATAATATTATCAGCTAACTGATTAAACCAAAGTATGAGGGGAGTGAGGATCAACCAACCTTACTTATTGGTTATAAAACCTCACAACCTTAAACACTAAACCACAAATATATTTCAGTTACATAACATCATGTCTAATATTTTCAATATTCAGACATTGATTCGTTAAAATACATAATACTCTCTGATTCATTGTACACATAATTGATATACTGCATACAGGAGATATCATAAATAAAAAAAAAACCCAAATTGTCTCGTTTTCATATCGTTCACATAACTTTCTAGCATAAAATTTGCATAACTGAATGAAATTCGAGCTGAACACACAAAATCTAATCGAATCTAACTGTCTACAGAGAGAGAGAGAGAGAGAGAAATATCAAATTATTGAACATTTACAAAATCTAACATACAATTTTTTAAAAGGTTTACTTTTTGAATGATGAAAAAAACATTTATTTATTTATTCCGCGTTTTCATGTCGATCATTTAAATTCGTTAAATATTCAATGTAATTTAATGACAAGATAAAATGTATTCACAGCTGTTTTGAATTTTGAATTTTATTGTACGCAATTAAAAATTTAATTTATTCAGTATTCAAAAATATTTTGTTTTTATGATTTGTTCAGATTGTTGAAATTATGAATTAATCTAAATTAAGGTTGTTATTAGAAACTTAGAAGCAGTGGATGACTAATTTGTCCCTAGTATGGGACTGTTCAGCAGTGTGTAGTAGTAACCTCCGCACCCGGGTCTATTGGTTACTCACTTACTTACTTACTTACGCCTGTTATTCCTGGTGGAGCATAGGTCATCGATCAGAAGTCTCTTCAACCTGGAACCCCTCCAGAGCTACTGCCAATCCCAGGCCCGGATAAAAGAGGAGGGTTTGGCAGGGGGTTAGCGGTCTGATCCTGTAGAAAATTAACTCGCTGAAAAATGCTAACCAGAAAAAAAATAACTAAAATCAGTTTCTTGATTTCTGTCATAACAAAACTACAATCTACACAACTCCTTTTCATTAATAACAGTCATATTCTAACTAGGTAGCTCACTCCCTTATGCGAGGCCATAGATGCATATACCCGATGGATGCCATATTAGGACAAAACGGCTTTCCAACGCTTCTAGATTTTTAAGAGTAGTCTAACTTAGATAAATTCTAGTAGAGTTTTCTTCTTTAAACTAGAAGTTTTAGTTGTGTAGCTGTCATTCAGAAAAGCAATCAAAACTCTACAACCCAATCATCCATCTCACAGAACAAAACTTCATCACAATCCTCATCTTCATCATCTTAGATCATTGTGGTTAGAATCGAGTATCTTCAGATCTGATGGTCAGTTCTTATGCATGAAACCTCTGATCTACGCTCTGGGGTTAGACACTCACAAATATCATGTCACTCACACACACACACACACAATTATGTGCTCTGCTATGACATTCTCATCACACAACACCAATCATCATCACTAGTTATGAATCAATCATAAACACATGTGAGATGCTGATTGATTGATGAAAGTGTACATCGTTGATACTTTTTGAGGGAGTTGAATGGATAAACGTTCTTTTTGGAAAGATAATTGTCAGATATTGTTTGTCATACTGTCGTGTCGTATATGTGCTTCAAAGTGTTCTCACTCTGTTCAATGAAACTAGTACTCAGTTGATTTTGTGTGTTCTTTGGTTGTTACTACTTTTAGTTATGCATTGACTTCTTGCATACTTGATTTTCCAGTTTTTCTGTGTCATTTCTGTTGATCAATACATCCAGGAATGATAGTTTTTGTTGTTCCGCTCTTTTTCCATGGAGAATTGTATGTCATCAAGGCCGTTGTTGATCAAATCGTTGGGTTTTTTCATCTCTACCTTTTCCTCATCACTGACTATGACATTCTTCTCATCACACAACACCAATAATAAACACACATGTGAAATGCTGATCGATCGATTGATTGATTGATTGATTGATCGATAAATGTGTAAATGGTTATTACTGAAATGAGATATTGCTTCTCTGTCATCCTATTTTTACGCATCACATGGATGAAAACTAGAACAATTCCACTACAATCAAACATTGTCACATTGAAAATTTTTATTTTTCAACATTTGATTTTCATTGTAATTGAATATTGAATTCTCTTGATTATAGTAAAACAAGCAAACAAACGAACTTTGTTTCAAGTTTGAGAGTTAGCGAGAGAGAGAGAAAATCGATCGTACTGTGATCATGAACAATGGCTTTATTGATTCAAGAATACTGATTCGGTTGAAAAAGATACGCACACACACACACCCTGTAACTAATCAATAAATTAGAGTATGAATAGAATTTTATATTTTATCGTATGACAAGATACTACTAGTATATTTAATCAGTCTAGCATGTTATATTGGTTTTACAATTATGATTGATGTTCTATTTGTTTGAAAGTATTTTGCAGTTAGCCAGTCACTCAGTCAGCTACAATGTGGAACTTTGTGTTACGCCTGCAGGTAAACACGTCAACTTGATATACTTGAAATATTACGAGTGTTTACCTAGTCAGAAAACGAGAGCGAGGATCGAAGATCCGGTGACACGACATGCTACTCAAATCCGATTATCACAACCCCCATATTGAGTAAAAATAAGAAGACTTGATATGAGGTAGAACCTGTATTCTACAAGCATTCAGAAAGTATGAGGTCCAAGTCCATAAGAGAATCAGGATCCCGGATTAGGGATCCGGGACCGGGTCCTGGTCCTGGTTATAAAACGTTACAGATAGTGCGTATATATACATTTCGGTCGAATAGGAAGCACCATCGAAGTCTGTGACATTGACAGTTAAGACGACAAATAGGAAGCAATATTTAAAGTGACATTGATAATCAGGACAACCAATAAGAAACAACATTGGAGCACGTGACATTGATATCTAGGACGGCCATAAATTTGACCAGTAGGAATTAACCAATAGGAATTGACCAATAATTCTCTTAGGATATTTGATGAATATCCTAACACTTTGTATGAACATACATCAGTTCAAGGTTGTCAATAACACCACACAGAGATCCAGTTATCAGTTCTAATTCCATAGTGGTAAACGTAGTAGAAGTATAAATGTGTCACGCTTATATGATTTTGAGATGGTGGGGAAGAATTTGTAGCTCAGGTGGATGATTGTGGTGGTGGTGGTGTTTGGTTCTTTGACCTAGATAATTTGGTTGTGAAGCTTTCATTGTTCATCTGAACAACATCATCAGCACAAACTTCAGGCAGAAGTGAAGTATTCGAATTTCTCCATGTTTGACCTGTAGCTTGTTCTGTTAACCTCGATCTTGATTGGTTGCTGTTGACCTTAAGCCTGTTGTTATTTGCACCTTTGTTTTGATTGTATCCCCCTTTTGATCTGTTTCTTGATCCTATGTCACCGATGATTTTCCTCATTGATTGATAAATTGGGTCAATGTCTATGTGTTTGTTGACTGCTGATTGACCTGAGTGCCAAGCTTCGAAAAATTCTCTAGTGTACTTTGTCCTCCCCTATCCAGTATTTCCACATTATTCCAATCGAATGTATGTCCATAATTGTCAATGTGTATTATTATAAGCGAAGCGTTGTCGTGGCGTTTGACTGTTAACTGTTGTTCGCATAAACGAAACTCAAGAGGCCGTCCACTTTGTCCTATGTAGTGTTTTTTACAGTCTGAGCAATTTATTTTGTAGATGATATTATTCGATAAACTCAAGGGGATTCAAATCGAAAACGACGAGACGATTATATCCTTCGACGTAACAGCCTTAGCCAAAGAAACTCTTTCCCTATTCCTCACCAACAACACAAACCTGCAAAAATATACGAAAATCCGAAGCCAAAGTCTTCTAAAATTCATCGAACTATGCTTAACAACGTATTTTCAATTCAACAATAGAGTTTACTAACAAACAAAAGGAACACCGATGGGATCACTAATATCAGGACTCATCGCCAAAGCTGTAATGCAGAGACTGGAAGCATCAATTTTACTCGTGATCAAACCAATAATGTAGACTACACATTCGTCATTATCAAAAAGAACGAGGTGGAGAACATCTTCGATCAGATTAACAACGTCTTCGATGACATAAAATTCACCATGTCAAAGGAATCAACCAGTTGTCTATCATTCCTAGATGAACTAATCACCAGAACTAACATAGGGAAACTAGAAATTCAAGTATTTCGGAAGCCAACCCACACAGACATAATTCTCAACTAAGGTAGCAACAACAAACTTTGTTCAAGAGAGCAAAGACACACTCCAGCATACATGAGGCACTAAAAAACGAAGAAAAACATCCTATGACTATCTTCTAAAACGACGACTATCCACGCCAATTTATCAATAAACATCAACCGAGATCATCAACAGAAGCGAACTAGGTAGCCTACACTTACCAACATGATTCAGTCTGTTTTTCAATGACTTGATGTATTTGTGCTATGTGTTGGTTTGGCCGCCACTAGCTTTCTTTCAAACCTTACTTCTACACTACACTACACTACACTACACTACACTACAAAACATCGATCATTATTTTGAATAATAACAAATAATTAATCTATCTCAAATTAAAAATTAATCAAAACACGAAAAACCCACCAAATTCCTTATTGAATTATTATTAATTAATGAATGTAAAAGTGAAAGCTGACAGAAAGAAAGAGCACACACACACTCTCTCTCATTCTTTCTCTGTGTCACTTTAAGGAATCTAACAACAACATCAATAACAATAGAATAGAAGTTGGTTATGATCATTTAGATTAGAAAAGGTCATGCGAAATATCTCCTCTCCTTGAAAAATTCTCTGATTCGCATCTATTCTGATAGTTACTAATTATAGAAAATGACTATAATTATCATTGTTATTATTATCAAAACTGATAAATGAGAAGAGTATAAACAATTGAATGATGACGATTGTTTTGTTGGTATGATAGTTGGTTGTGAAGATTGTTAAGTTACTTTACTGAACTCATGAATCGATCAATGATAGTGTGGTGCGCGCTACTTATAAGTAGTATATACCGCGAGTGTAAAGATAATGTCTGGTAGCAGAAGATTGGGGGAAGATCAAGAAAGGAAGAAGAGTGGAAACACAATGGAATTTGTATGAAATGCATGAATAAGTGAAATGTCAGACAATGGATTGATGATGGATTGAAGATTTGCAAATTAACCGTTTACGATATGGTTTTCCTATTTTACTGATTAACTCTGTAATTTTCGTTAAATACAATTCGGTTGCCCTCACCTGTGTTCTCCTTCACTACAATAGGATAGCATTGGATGACTATTTTTGTCCTAATGTATAAGACTCATTTATCAGCAGTGTGCATCAATCATTCTCAAAACTTAGAAGAGTTGAATTGAAGATATTCATTGTTGCACAAGACAACGTAACCTTTGGATCGTCAGCTACAATCTCAACTACCAGGGGAATTGAATTAATAATTCCATTTCTCTGTGCGTTAATGTGCTATAGTAACTTGAAATGATGTACGTAACTACGTATGAAGTTCTACGTTGTTGATGACTGACTGACTGACTGAGATTTCATTTCCCACCAAGAAAATTCATGGCTGTGATTGGCTGCTGTGTATTTTAGTGTGCTATTTTCATTAACTGTCCCAAGGACGTTTCTATGATGTATAATATATAAACGAGAGTTGTATGCTTGATTGTATTGTGTGATTGCTAGGTGTTTGTAGAAAGATACTTTCTACGCTTACAAAGCTTTTTATCTTCAGCTTGTGGGGATTCAAGTTAGCCTACATGGACGCTGGTTCATTGTCTAGTTTGCGTCTATCGACTAAAGTGAACTTGTAATAGCTTCAAGCGTACCTAGTGATGGACCCTACAATATATTACATATATATAATGATTATATCTAACTGTAATTGTTTATTTTTGATTAAAAATTATAACATTTTCAATCATTCAATAATTCTTTGTTTTACCGCTTTTCCACTTTTTTTGGCGCGCGCGCAATTTCTTTTTTTTTCTTCTAGGCATTTCAAATTATGTTATCCTATATTTATAGTGATGAATTATTATTTGAAAATGATATCAATTTATTATTCTATGTATTGTATGCAACGAAAAAATATATTCTACCACGTTTAACACAAATTTGTGTTGAATCATTAAAAGTAAGTTCAGTCAAATAATTTTTTTCTGTATATTATTATATGAAACTGTTTTTTGGTTTGTTTGTTTGTTATACATAATGAATTGTATTCAATGTGTGTGAGATAGTTTGGTAAATGCAAACCTGGAAGCACTGAAAGACGGCCGTTTCGTCCTAATGTATGGGACTCCTCATCGGCAGTGTGCATCCAAGACTCCTGCACCTCTCAGATTCGAAACCAGGACCTTCGGTATTGTGCGTGAACGCCTAAACATCGGACCACTGAGCCGGTATCTAACGATGTTAATGTTTAACTTGATCAATTCACGGAGTTGCACAGCCTCATACACAGTCTTCGGTAGTAGTTACTCTCTACACCCAAACAGGTTGAACTTCACTGGTTACGTCTTCTCACTAGAACTTGGAGAAGATTCCTCACGAAGTTACACATTTTTGAAACCATGAATCGATCAATGTTATATCACCATTCGAAGAAACCTGGAAGCACTGAAAGAAGGCCGTTTCGTCCTGGTATGGGACTCCTCATCAGCGGCTCGCATTGTAGGTCAAATTAGGTCAAAACCATTACGTAATAAGCAAATGTGTAAAAAAATAAAATGAAAAATATGATGTCAAACGTTAGTTACGTAACATCCGGCTACGGAAGAGATAAGGGTATCACGAATTACTCCTGAACAGATAAATTGGGGTTGAATGTACGTATTCCTATGGCTTCTGCAATGTGTGTAGGAGACGTGATCGAACTCCGTTGGGAAATGATGGAAGTATACGATAGATCACCTGAAAAGATCTAGACTTATCTACAATATGACCACTATCAACCAGGTGTGCTAAGATAGAACTGCGTATTGTTTTTGACTGACCCTTCTAAAACCATGCTGGGAGATGGTCACTCATTAGTTGGGTAAGTTGCACGGAAGTCCGCCCGATATAGCTATCCGCACATGAGCAGCTGGATTTGTAAATGCACATAGAGGAGGCCAACTCAGGTTACTTATCCTTCATTTGGGTAGACATCTCTGGTCGACTGGAGAATGTCAATGCAAGTTTGGCAGCGTTGAATGTTCTATTAATTACTCTTCATAATCTGACCTGAAACAATTAATCCCTTTTATAGAAATTTTGATAGAACACTATGCGAAGATGTAGTTGATTTGAAAAATGCTGTGATGTATTTGCTCTACACATTTCGAACAATCTGATCACACACATATACCACTTGTCAAGGCATTTTATATGAAGATTAATCCATGGTCAATTAAATAAAAGTTCAACTAGACAATAAAGGTGATAATTGTAAATAAAGGAGAGAGAAAATTACCGTATTATAGGAAAGGGTAGGAAATTTTCACATTACCTCCCTAGACCATACAATAGGCTTAGAGATTACCAGGGTAAAAAATTCAAGGTTATAACAAACTGTTTCTGTACACATTAGGCGGAGGGGGGTTTTAGTTTACTAATAGTCAAGCAAACCTCAAACGTGACAATTTAAAAATTAAAGAAGAGATAGAAAATCAGTGTAGTAATATTTGAAAGAAATACGAAAGGGTATGAAATTGTCACATTACCCTACCCCCACTAAGCCATACAAATGGTTGAACGATTAACTGGGGGTAAATTTGAAGTTATAACACATTGTTTCGTGTACACACAAGAGGACGAGGAGGGCTAATTGTTATTAATAAAAATATAGATTTGAAATCATCAATCAATCATTGTTAGACCACCATTAGAAACCTGGAAGCACTGAAAGACGGCCGCTTCGTCCTGGTATGGAACTCACCAGCACTGCTCATCCACGACTCCTACAACTCGCAGGATTCGAACCCGAGACCTTCGGGATTGTGCGCGAATGCCTAATCATAAGACCACTAGGCCGGAATCGAGCGGTGAGCACTGCTGATGAGTCCCATAACAGGACGAAACGGCCGTCCAGTGCTTCCAGGTTTCTAATGGTGGTCTAACAATGATTGATTGATGATTTTAAATGTGTAAAAACACAAATCTCCAAAACTCTAACCGAAAAAACAAATATAGATTCTTAGTATTTCAACTTTTCTGACGTTTCATGACTTTTATTTGAGGAAGTTTTTGCACTAGATGTTAGTTTCACCTTGAAATCATGAATCAATCATTGTTAGACCAAAATTTGAAGAAATTTCGAAGCACTGGATGGTCGTTTCATCCTGGTATGAGACTCGTCAGCAACGTACATCCACTACTTCCTCTACTCACAGGAAACGAACCAAGGACCTTTGGTCTTAAGCCTGAAAGCTTGACTTATGGACAAACGAGCTGACATACATCGATGTTATTGTTTAACTCTAATTAATCTATATATATATATATATATATATATATATATATATATATATATATATATATATATATATATATATATATATAAGTCAAACTAGTGTTTGTAAATGGGTTAGGGTCATTGTTGGAGATGCTAGATCCCAAGAGTTCACGAGCATGGACTGATCAGTTAACCAACCGGAAAATCCTTGAATATTATTGGTTGTTGTATTATTTTAGTAGGCTATTTCTATGGCTGTCACAAGGACGTCTCTGTCATGCATGAATAAATTCAATTTTCGTGCTCATGGACCTTATTTTTTTGGGTGCTTGTAGAATACACTTTCTACGTCTTGTCAAGACTTCTTCCTCTACTTAGTGGGGTTTTGGGATGCTCGGATTTGAGTAGGCTATCGTGTCGCTGCATCGTTTGTCTTTACCGACTAATGTGAACTCGAAATCGTTTCAGTCATATCAATTGACGAGAATAACAGTTATCACTGTCACACAGAGTTTCCGTCACTTATTCTAAAACATGCTATTACCGCTATAAAAGTTTAGGATTGAATAATAAAAGCTAAGCCGGATTTCTGAGTTTTCGTTTTCAAATAAGGATTAGGGTTTACATCACGAAATGATCTCATCTATGATGTAATACTTTGCTTAAATTCTTTTTACAAAACTCCAAGACTTATAACTGAGATTTAGGGTAATAGTATCTAGCATCACTAAAACACTCTTGACAACTCATTGAATCACAAACAAGTGATGGAGTTCCATTCACTGAGTTCAATGTTTTGGTTTAGCAGCTTTCATGATTCTTTTCAACAACATAATCAGCACAAACTTTGTTTCAGGTCAATAAGAACTAACTAAGTTCCAGGTCAACAGCACAATCTACCAGTCATACGGGGAGCAATTCGAATACTTACTTCACATCTCTCTCTCTCCCTCTAAAGTTTGTGCTGATCATGTTGTATTCAAAAGTGGAACAATGATGAATACTCCACAACCAAAAACAACATCCATCAACTCTCCAGCATCTTAAAATCACAACAAATACTTTATTTATAACACGCACAATTTGAGACTTGAAAGCAATTTATGTTTTGATAATTCAGCTTCATTAAGTATCCCAATTTTCAACTTTACAAAACAATAATTTCGATTCATTTCAAGTAGTTTAAGAACTGGTGTTTATTGACGACGTAAGGCAACCATATGAATCATATAAATTTTGATTGACTTATTAAACATCGTGGTGGTGGTGTTTTGTTCTCTGAGCTGGATGTTGTTTTGGTTGTGGAGCTTTCATCATTGTTCTTCTTCTGAACAACAACATCATCAGCACAAACTTCAGATAGAAGAAGTGAAGTATTCGAATTTCTCCATGTTCGACCTGTAGCTTGTTCTGTTAACCTCGATCTTGATTAGTTGCTGTTGACAAGAAACAGATCAAAAAGGGGATGAGATCAAAAAAAGGTTCAAACAACGACAGGTTTAAAGTCAACAGCAACCAATCAAGATCGAGGTTAGCAGAATAAGCTACAGGTCAAACATGGAGAAATTCGAATAGTTCACTTCTATCTGAAGTTTGTGCTGATGATGTTGTTCAGAAGTAGAACAATGAAAGCTTCACAACCGAACTACACCCAGCTCAGAGAACAAAACACCACCACCACAATCATCCATCTGAGCTACAAATGCTTCTCCAACATCTTATTAAACATCCTCAATAATAATGGAATACTTGTATCATGATGATGTCATTTGAACAAAAATTTCAAATTTTCAATCAAATTAATTTTTGTTCTTTATTTTTTTCTGATTCGAATTCAATTTATTTAAACCAGGATTTAATTACAGCTGAAAATGTTTGTATGATGTTGGATCGTAGTATATTTTTTGATGAAGTTGATTTAACACGTCGTTGTTGGCATGTCATTGATGTTTTGGTAAGTGTTGCTGTTGTATTCTCATTAGTTTTGTAATGAATAAATCATGAATCATGAATCGATCAATGTTAGCCCTTACTATTAGAGAAACCTGGAAGCACTGAAAGATGGCCATTTCGTCCTGGTTTGGGACTCTTCATCAGTAGTGCGCATGCAAGACTCCTGCACCCCGCAGGATTCGAACTCTGGACCTTCGTCTTGTGCGCAAATGCCCAACTTCTGGATGACTGAGCCATTATCTAATGGTGTTGATCGGTCTTGCTCAACCTCATTGTTAGGATATCCATCAAATACCTAAGAGAATTATTGTTATAATTTCTAATTCTGTTGGTCAATATAATGGTCATCCTAACTATCAATGTCACTTCGAATGTTGTTTCCTATTGGTTGTTCTAATTGTTAATGTCACAGACTTGAATGTTGTTTCCTATTCGAGATGACTCTATAAATTTGCATTATCTGTAACGTTTTATGAACAGGAACCGGATCCGTAGTCCGGGATCTTGATTTTCTTCTGGACTCGGACTTCGTATTTTCCGGATGCTTGTAGAATACAGGTTCTACTTCATATCCAGTCTTTTTTTACTCAATGGATGTTTGGGACATTTGGCTTAGAGTAGCCTGTCGTATCTCCGGATCAGCGATCCTCGCTCTTGTTTACTGACTAAGGTAAACTTGTAATAGTTCAGGCATATCAAATGACGTGTTTACGTGCGTGCGTAACACTCATACACTGTCTTCGTTAGTTACTGCCTTGATCTTAATTAAAATATACCTAACATTGATTTTAGTGAAGTCAACATTGTTATTGATATCGACAATTATTTGAAAGGATCATCATGTTATCGTGTTCAAAATGATCAGTACTTATTTATTTACTCCGGTTACCTCGTAATGGAGCTATAGGTCGCTAACTAGCGAATTAGTTATTCTGGTTAGCGTTTTTTATTTGGCGAGTTGGATTTGTACGGGATGCGGTCTTCTAACCCCCACGCCCAACCCTCCTCCTTTATCTGCAGGTTTGAGACCGACAGTCACTGCAGAATAGCTACAGGCGGAGTTTTAGGATGATCAGAAGACAGCTTTAAATTAACTTTGACTTTGTGGATAATTTGCATTATGGGGTTGTAGAGATTGTTGAGTTACTTTTTCAAATCGTAAATCGATCAGTGTTAGACTACTATTAGAAACCTGGACGGGTGTTTTGTCATGATGTAGAACCGGCTCAGTGGTCTAGAGGTTTGATTAGATTCTGCCAAATTTCCTGGGTCCGAATCCTGCGAGGTACAGGAGTCGTGGATGCGCAAGAAGATAAGAATTTCACATTTACGAGAAGACTGAAACCTCTCGCAGGATCTGAACTCAACTGATCTCCTGTAGGACCTGAGATATTGAGTAGGTTAGTAACTAAATCATGTCATGTTTGTGTACTGATTGAGTTCTATCAATCAAACCAGAATGTAAACAGTAATCTTTCATGATTCGATATTGTGTGAAGGATTCCTGTTAATTATTTAAAGCAGTTGAATGCAATCGTCAGGAGTGCCTAGACGTATAGTAAACGATTAATAAGATGTAATTAATTCACAGGGGTTAGATCATTGTTTTGGATTGGTTAATTGTTGCCTTACGGTCATTGATCACTATTAGCCTAATGAAAGAGGGTATAGACCAGTATGCTTTAGCTTGATCTGCTCTTGTTTGAATTTTATTGATTACTGAATTCTAGTACTTTCTTTCTTGGATTTTATCCACAGTATCAATAGAGATGATAAATTCCTTGTGATGATAAGGCGTGTTGCCCGTCACCTCCTGATATATTGAATAAATAACTTCTTTGATCCCTTTTCAGTTGTTCTGCATAGTAGTGTCCACTTCATTGAGACTGTAGAAACAAATCTTCAGGATTAGATTTCATCGGATAATGATTGTAAGATATCCGGTTGTAAGAAATTGGAAGCATAAGGATACTCATCAAAGGTATTTATGCACGTAGAACTTCGTACGTGAGTTGCACAAAGAGAACGCATTGTCAATACAAATCCCATAGTGGTAGAGATAATAGAAGTGTTAGTAGTAATCGGAGAGATCAGAGTTTGAAGATATTATTCAAGAAGTATAATTCAGTGAAATAAATTCAAAAACAGAAAGACAGAGGTGATGAGGAATTCAGAACATTAGGGTTTGAGAGAACACAAAGAATGAAAGCATGTGTGCCATTGCAAACGATTTCGAGTCAATGTCATTCAATGTCTCTAACCATAGAATACTATTATTGTCTCGCACACCCCAACCAGTTAGTCAACACCTACCGATATGACTCAGTCTGTGGTGCTGTGGTGCGAACTACTTATAAGTAGTATATAGCGTGAGTGTCAACGTAAAGTCTGGTAGCATAATATGGGGGGAAGATCAAGAAAGGAAGAGTCAGAAAACAATGGAATTTGTATGAAACGCATGAAGAGTGACAATGGATTGATGTTTGGCAACAGGAACAGTCCAGTTCCATAGGATGAACTGATCTTTTGCAAATGAACGATTTACGATATGGTTTTCCGATTTTACTGAGTAACTCTGTAATTTTCCTTAAATACAATTCGGTTGCCTCCACCTGTGTTCTCATTCACTACATTTGGTGTCGCTGCCTACGCAAAGGATGAAGATTCCATGGCCGAAGGAGTTTGAAGACGGGGATGTGCGGGGCTTCCTGAAGGAGTTTGAGGCCGTGGCGGAGCTGGTGGGGGTGAAGGAACCGAAGGCGAAGCTGGTGGTGCTGGGGACGCTGCTGAGAGGAAGGGCGAAGGCCGTATATGACGGCTTGGACGGTGCTGGCGGGAAGATGCCATGGGAGGCGGTCGTTGAGCGGCTGATGACCGAGTTCGACAGCCCGGTGGACAGGGAGGAGGCGTTGCGGAAGTTCCGGTTGGCGAGGCTGTCGGCTGATGGTGACCCGCTGGTGCTCGCTGTGGAACTCAAAAGGTTGCTGCGCCGTGCGTTGCCGAATATCGATGAGGAGTCGGAGGCACAATTGTTGGCGTCGCAATTTATTGAGAGTGTGCCTGCCGCTGTGTCCCAGCAGCTGAGATTAGTAAATGCAGCACAATCTATGGACATCGGTGAACTGACGAAGGTGACTCGTCAGCTGATGACACGAACAGTAGCTCCGGTCGGGTGCGAAAAGCAGGAGATAAATACTTTCGAGAAGAAGATTGAGGAGTTAGAGCGTGAGATAGCAGCATTACGAGTAAATCATAAAAGGAACGATAAATGTTACGCTTGTGGAGAGGCAGGACATTGGAAGATAAACTGTCCAAGAAGACGACGACGACGATATTTTAAACATTATAACGTGTTTTCTTTCCACCCTAGGAATTGGGAGGTTCTTGCACTAGTAGATAGAGGGGCAATTTATGCCAGAGTGTACATAAATGAACGGGAGTTAGTGTGTTTGATTGATACAGGGGCAGCTATATCGTTAATAAGCAAAGAGCAATGTAAGACAATTAAACCATGTACATTAGCTGTCCACACCATAGGAGGGCATATGCTAGAGGTGTTGGGGGTATCTAACAGTATTGTAAAAATGAGTGGAGCTGAGATAAATTTTCCGTTCGTGGTAACCACAAGCTTATCGAGACCGATATTAGGAGCAGATTTCCTAAGAGAGGTAAAAGCAATAATTGACTTGAGAAGCGGGAAAATGGTCACAAAGTACGGTTCATTGCCAATACATGAAAGTAGCGAAGTGGCTGAAATAAGGATGGCAACGGACGTCTCGACCAAGAAACCTAACGTTAACGAGTTATGCGCAAAGTATGCGAAACTGTTCACTGGAGATGGGGAGCCGTATGGATTTTGTGACAAAGTAAAGCATGAAATTCCTATAAAGAACGACCGAGTAAATATATTTACAACACGTCGTGTCCCAGTGCATTTAGAGGCCGAGGTAAATCGACAGGTCCAGGAAATGTTGAAGGAAGGGATAATTGAGGAAGCAGACAGCCCGTATAGCTCACCGGTACTCTTGGTAAAGAAACCCAATGGAAAGTATAGATTTTGCGTCGACTTTAGAGAACTGAATAATATAACAGACCTGAAACCGTGCGCAATGCCAACAGTAGTAGAAACATTAGATCGATTACAGAATGCCACGGTGTTTACAGTGCTGGATTTACGGTCAGGTTATTGGCAACTACCTATAAAAGATAGCGATCGCAAAAAGACAGCATTTACTATACGGGATAAACAGTATCAATTTAAAAGAATGCCGTTCGGGTTGGCTGGTGCACCGTTCACGTTCAGAAGATTGATGACGCTGCTGCTTAAGAATCTAGATAATGTTGAGGTATATGGCGACGATGTAGTTGTATACAGCCTGACGGAAACAGATCACGTCAAGCATGTGGAGGCGGTCTTAAAGCGAATTGACGAATTTGGGCTTCGAATTAATAAGGAAAAGTCGCAGATAGCGAAAAACAGCGTCATATTGTTGGGACATAAAGTGGGAAACGGAGAAATAAAGCCATTACCAGAGAAAATTCTTACCATAAAAAATATTGCAGTACCTAATTCGAAAAGGAAGTTGAGACAGTTCCTGGGAAGAGCGGCGTTCTATAGTCATTTTGTCAAGAATTTCAACGAAATAGCAGCGCCCTTATATAAGCTGCTGAGCAACACCAAGTTTACATGGACTGAGGCTGCCGAACAAACGTTCAACCGAATCAAAAACATGCTAGACGATCGTCAGATGACGCTGCGACTGCCTGAACCCGGTAAACTGTTTACAGTGGCCACAGATGCAAGTGATCATGGTATAGGTGCGGTATTGAGTCAGGCTGATAGAGTGGTGGAATACGCAAGTCGCGTTCTCACACCCGCCGAACAGAAGTATTCAACGATCGAGAAGGAATGCCTGGCAATCGTGTGGGCAGTAGAGAAATGGAGACCGTACCTTTTAGGTAGACGATTTCACATCGAGACGGATCATAAGCCCCTACAAT